ACACACACACACACACACACACACACACACACACACACACACACGTCCAGAAGCAAGCCACAACATCCATCAACATTGTGTGTTCATCCAAATGACTTGGAACAAACATAAGAGGAAGGGGATAATCAGAAACGTGCCGCGCTGTAAGTAGAAGCTGCGCTGGACGCGGCACACACAGAGTCCAAAGCGTACGACTGAAAATATGAATTATTACTTTTCTGGCTTTGTTGTCCTACAGAACACGGGGTTCAGTTTAACACATGTATTTCAAAGTGCTGTCTGAGAGAGTCAAAAACTACAGCGATCAAACTAATAAACAATCAACGGCGGAACAAAATAAATGATGTAATACAGCAGGGGGTCAACAGATAACAGCTGTGCAATTACCGACGAACGGGCCGGAATCACACAAAGTAAAACATGTGATGCTGTTGCTTTGGGGGGTTGCTGTTTGGCTTGCTGTTGTTATTGTGGCAACCACACGCAGCTCCAACTTAATGTGCACCACCATCAGAGAGCAGCTCATCTCTGCCTCAACAACCAATAGTTGGATAACAGTGAATTTCATGCTATCGCTTGTTTTCCAAAATAAGCACATGAACTTCTGTGTGTTGCACGAATCCAATCCGATGACCCTCCAACGATTATGTAAAGAAGTACAACGAGAAAGTACAACTTTCCACACCCTAGTTCTGTGCTACTCTGATTACAACACTGACATTCAACTGCTTTTGAAGGATTCTCAAACATCTAAATCATGTAGAGTGAGGATACGTAGTGTACACACAGGTAGACATACAAATACCACTATGACAGCACACTCACACACACACGCTCACCTTGTTAGGCGCAGTGGCTGAGGGCGCTCCCCGAACTTCCTGCAAAGACACAAAGTGAGAACACAACATGAGTGTGCTGGTTATCAACCACAAACACAGAGTAAACACTGCATTACACAACGGTGCACGTATACACACAAAAGTACGTACACACACACACACACACACACACACACACACACACACACACACACACACGCTTGTCACTGTGGCCTTGAGCGTTGAGTGACAGGACGTGTCCGGCGCCAGCAGGCGTACAGACAGCGATCTTTATTCTAACACATTTAAAAACATGTGCGTCAACACAAAATGGTTATTGTTGTTTTTAAGTCCCAGACGGCCGTCAGCACATGAAAGCCAACAATAAAAAAGGCGTGGACGGCTTGAGATCACAGTGACTACACACACTTATCTCAGTTATCTAGGTTTAATAATAAGTCATAGATGTATGTTGAGGGGGGGGGGGAGAGAATACAGGACCTAAGTGTTTGACCGTATGGTACTAAATCCATCAACTTAAATATTAGTAGATGAGAACTTAAAGCCCTGGCCCAAAAAGACGTTTTGGAAACCCACGATTCAGCAGTTTTCTCCATCAGTCTGCGGCCTGGCCACGGCGCACAGCTACCCCACATGAAACAGGAAACAGCTCAACTCTCTGCTCAGTATTTAAAAGCTGCAACGAGGCCCCAGACCAGCTAAAGAAAGTCACGGGGCGGTATCTACGTCACGTAAATGTCAGACTTGGGAGGATCACGCACGCATTACAGCTCGTTTCATATGTTTAAACTTTCCCCTTGATCCTGGATGTCGTATGCAAGTCTCCGTGACGGCATCACATACCTTCACTCGTTACAAAGACGGTCGACTTTTACTTAAACTGTGATTGAGTCACAGCTAGAAACGTGCAGTCATAGATCGCATGTAGCAAGGAAACCACTTCCAACCACATGTAGGGCCGTCGACTTGCAACAGCGCACCGCTAAGGATGATGTGTGCAACCTGTTACAGGCAATACAGTCTCATGGTACGGGACAGAAAAAGCAGAGCCCAGAGCACTGGCAGCGACACATCACACTACACATCATAATATATTTGCATTTAAACAGCCAGGTTACAGCCGGCAGCATGAATGTAGTACGTATGAAGAAGAAGCCGGAGAGCGTCCCATGTAGTCTGAAGTACAGCTGCTGAATCAAACATCAGGGGCGGTTAAATAAAACTATATATATTTATATGAAAAAGCCAAATATGATCATAATATCAGAACATGTAGACTTCACAGGCTTTTAACTTTCTCAATATAAAGAAGATGCATACTTCTGCACACTTAGCTCTGCTATTTTTACATTTAATGTAAAAAATAAATAAATAAATCGCTCAATGCAAGAATCGAGAACAAATTCTTGAATTTGAATAAAAATGGGGCCACAAGTAACACTCATTGTCATCGTTGACTCATTTGTTGAGTAATCCGTTGAAGTAGAAAATGACTGTCGTAATCACCCACAGACCAAGGTGACATCATCAAATGTCTTCTCCAAAAAATCCCAAAGATTCAGAGAAATATCGTGTGTGACAAAAAAAAAAAAAATCAAATCCTCACATTTGAGAGTCAAAAATGACAAAAGTGATTATTCCAATTCTCTAAACAGTTGCAGAGCTATTTCCCGTCAATCCCATTCAAACATGCTCATTTGCATAATCTACATGTGTATTGCTATAGGAGATATGTGACAATACTCCCTCATGGCCGACACATTCTTGAGCACCACTGTAATGTTCCTTTAGTGCACAAAGCTTTGTAGTAAACTGCAAACAACGGCAAAATACTTGCCTTAATTGTTGCAGCAACGCAGGGTTCAGGGATAAGTTTGCAACAAAGGCATCGATCCTAAAAACCTCGTTACTCATTTACTCATCAGCCTGTGAAGGCTTTACAGTAAGACGCAGCTCATGGCACAAAGAGGAGCTACACGGACATGTATGCGGCACATGGAGGTGACTGTACAGAGGGTGTGTGTGTGTGTGTGTCTACAAGACGGACACAAGAGTCAAGAGTGAGTCAGATTTTTCTCCTTGCGTCGGATGTGGTAGCCTTTGCATGCTGCCGATAAGTATGTCAATACATCTCACGAGACACCAATAAACACACGGATAATGTGTCACTTGAAGTGAAGAAAGAAGAAGAAGAAGCACATACAGGGATGAAAATAGCACAGAGAAAGCAGCAAAGATGGGGATGAAGGGCTGGAGAGAAAAGCGAAAGCATGATTGGTGCCAGAGCCAGAAGGAGGGAGTCGGAGGTGGAATAATTAGAAAGGAGGGCGATCAATAAGGTTCCCACAGTGAAACACGGACGCCTCGACCGGCTAATGGATTCCAGACGGCTCTCTCTCTCTTCTCCCTCCCCCCTAAA